GCTTTTAACATTCTTGGACTTTTAGACCAATTAAGTAACTTTCCTTTAACACCATACATTTCTAATTTTAACATAAGCCCTTTTGTGCCACTCTCTATCAAACGCTTTAGATACATCGCAAAATGCCATGCGGTGGTTTTCTTTGTTGTCAAGAGATTAATAAAGGTGATAATAAATTTCAATTAGTTGATGAACAGTTGAATGACCAGTTTGGAATCCACATTGATACAAGCAGTTGTCACTAAGGTGACACTAAGGTGACATAATCCCCCGACGCAAATTATCAAATCAAACTTAAAAAGTAATGAAAATGAAGGTCGTAGTTTAAGATGTTAAATGTCAACAAAAACATGACCCGTCAACCTCTCTTGATACCTTGCTCTGTAGCTGTTCAAACACACAACTATTTTCAAGACTCACTTTGACCTTGACATGAATGTCATGGTGTATGAAATATGCCAACAATAGTCATAAAGAATTTGCTTATGAAAAAAAACAATCTCGAGAAGTCATGAAAGTCTATGAAGAAAATCCAGTCAACCGTTGTTAAGATATCTTGCTGACAATCTTAACATGTTGAGATCTTCAAAGTGTAATTAAGTGAAGTTCACCAAAATCGACTGGGTCTTGCACCTTCCCCAGATGATATTGTATTGTCTTCTTCCTCGCTAGTTTTATGAATCTAGTATTTTTACTGGACAGGTTTTAATCTTCAAAATGTTTTCAAATATGAATATGAAAATCCAGAGAACGGTTCTTGGGATATCTCGCTGACAAGCTTAACATGCAGCTTCACATGCTGCGTCAGTTGTTGGCGATCTATAGCCCGTGTTTTATATTGTATTGTCTTCTTTAATTGGAATGTTTTAACTTTGCTCGCTAGTTTTATATCATATGTGATTATCTAGTATTTTTACTGTCCATCGTCGACAGGTTTTAATCTTCAAAATGTTTCACTTTTTATTGTATAAATTGTTTTCGTCACGATATGGCTGAGATATTGCCGATGTGACGTTAAATATTAACTCACTCACTCACTCACTTAACATGCTGAAATCTTCCGAGTGTCGCTGTCACCTTGAAAATTACGTGAAGTTCACGCCTGCGCCTTCCCTAGATAAAGCTTGATGTCAAATCTGAAAAACATCCAGTGAGCGGTTCTTGAGATATCTCGCTGACAGGCTTAAAGTGCCGTCACCTTGAAAATTCCGTGAAGGTCACCAAAATCGACTGTGCTCTGCGCCCTAACTAGATGAAGCTTGGTCTCACATAAGAAGAATATCCAATGAACGGTTCGTGAGGTATCTCGCTGACAAGGATAAAACGTTAAAGTCCCATTGTGACCTTGAAATGAAGGTATGTCACGTTTAATAAAAGAGCGTCCTGAACATAATTTAGAAGCTCACCACTAAAACTGCATATTGTGTGAGAAAATTAAAACCTTTTTCCATCACAATAGTTAATGTACGAAATTATCGATAACACAATTTTCATATCGATAATTATTAATATGTTTTCCTGTCGACGATATTTCCGATTATCGATCATTTTAGCCAGTGGTACTGTTCTGTATATTTCTTTCTTCAGTTGAGGTTTGTTTGTGTGTGTTATATAAGGTAGTCAGTGACATGATGATGTATGATATTGCTCAAGACTAACATAGTGCTTATTGTAAGTTAAATACCAGCCACTAAGGTCCCTCCATTTATCAATAAAGTACATGTTACAACTGTTTAAATGACAGTAATAACTAAACCATCACGAGACACATTAGACAATATACAATTCATATATACATTTCATTTGTATAGAAAACAAATTTAGCCTTAGTTCCAGGCTAATTGTTTGGCGTTAAGACATCACAATCAATAACATTTTGGCAACGGAAAGCTGCAATCTACACCTCTGGAGCGCAATAGTGCAGTGGTTAGGCGTCTGCCTATCACGTTGAAGGCCTGGGTTCTATCCCCGGTGGATGCACCTAGGTTCGGGTCCCGAGGTAGGCACATTTGGGTAGTATCCTTGGACAAGATACTTAGATCCACATTGTCTCAGTTCACCCGCTGTAAAATGGGTACCCTTGAGGATGTCCTGGCAATGTGAGTGATCAGTTCATCGCGCCTACCAGGCAGCATGACTGTATGATCCCCAGGGAGTTGAAAAAGTATCGGATAGTACGATGGTGTCCTATGACCGGGGATAGTAATGTACGTATCGCCATAAGCAGGTAATGTGCCTGGATATGAGCGCCATATAAGCGGACTATTATTATGATTACCTTTCACACAATTCACATAATATTTACATTTTATTTAGAAACGTGAGGATAGCGTCTGATATTATTATGTTTATATTATAACACTCCCAGATCTACTATTCATTGGTATGTGTGTATATTTATCTAACAGAAGATGAAAAAATTCCCCGACCCCCACAAATTTGAAAGAATAAATCATCTGACAGTTACTTAAAGTCCAACTTGATGAGAGAATTTCCGTCTAATCTGTACACGAGTGTAGTTATTGAGCTATCAAAACAATAACATGGAATTGGATTACCTGCCGGCGACATAAATCCATAAATATGCTCGATTTGTGAATTACTTTCTATGTAGGAAGAGTTCACACCGAAAACATACACACACACACACACGTGACGAAGACTCATCACTTCGTGATTATTTTCATTGGAGATTATTTGTGTTGGAGTAAACAAAAGTAAAAATATCTTGCCTTAGTAAAGTTTAAAAATCGAAAATGAATGTTAAAAGTTGCAAATTAAAAATGTGTGTCTTTCCGTTGTGAAATCTGATTGATCGTCTTCACTTGATAGATCTGCTTCGATTTCTATGCTGCTGTCAAGACTTTCCGCTGACCACGGGAACATTGATACGTGGAATATGCGTAAGGTTATTGTGCGAAAAATCAACATATCACTGGTGTTATTTTAGGTGATGCCGTGGCGAACGCTTGTTATCTTCTAAACACAAAACTGAAGCAGCGAGTAAACTCCCCACCATGACGCCAGGTCTCAGTAGTTGGCGGAACACGAGTATTTTTTCACGCTTTTGGCTACAAACGTTGACTTCAATATATTGGTTTTACATGCTTTATAAATAATTTGATTTAAGATTTGTACTGTGTTTTTTTCTTTAATCCCGTCAAAGTATGTGTATTTTTACATTTGTAACAGCTGTATCGTTGCGGACTTTCCTTCCGTATCATGTTGACACGCTCTGGTGTAACTGGAATACTGTTCAAAGCGGAGTTAAAACCTGACTCACTCACTCCCCAATGCATTTGATGGAATATTGCTGAGTGCGGCGTTAAATAACAAACCAACCAACCAACCAACATTGGTCTTATTCACAAACAAACATAACAGAAACGTTAAAGAAGTTTTTTAATCAACGTTAAGATAAAATCTAGGGTTCTCTCACAACCACGACATTGCAGTCAAGAAACAGATAGCGTTCCATACATGACGTGGAACTGTCATGATATGTGTGGACAAAAACTATATATCACCCATAAAAGGCACAAAATGCAGCTGAAAATATTCACGTCATGCTCACGCACTGAAAACAATCGAATATGACGTAATCCTTTGACCATGACGCTGCAAATTATTTTATGACGTCATTTAAACAAAACTATAACTGTGCTTTTTCACCTTTTGAGATGAGATAATCGACATTTTAGAGATAATCAATATAATGTATCTTAAATGATACTCTATTTACAATCAGAAATACGGATTATTTGTAGCTCATTAATTAGGTTTGAAATATCTTCCCTACAGCCCAGGGCGGATAATCCGAAATTTCTCTTAGTAGTAAGCACATGCTTACAAGTCGTGTTTGTTAGTCCACTGGATCCGCATCCCATCACACTAATGACTTAGTATTACTCGACTGTATGCAAGGAACTTAGTAGAACGTGTACTTGTCCTATTATCAGTGGTATGCGGTTACCAATATCAATTTGCATATTGCCTTTATTTATAAAGCATACAACCAGAAAACATAAAATACACACTCATTTGGCTGATACGGTTCATTTTGGCCAATTCGAATTGTCAGAATTTCAAGTTACAGGAACTCTATATTGCTCAGGGTAAGGTGCTCTTACATTTGTTGTGCTGGACTGACTGACTGAGTTTAGTTTTACGCCGCTTTTAGCAATATTCCAGCAATATCACGGCGGGGGACACCAGAAATGGGCTTAACACATTGTGCCCATGTGGGGAATCGAACCCGGGTCTTCGGCGTGACGAGCCAACGCTTTAACCACTAGGCTACCCCACCGCCCCTTGTTGTGCTGGAAAGGAGGCAACCTTAACACCAAATACAGGGAGGATCTGCATTTCTTAACGAGCCATTATTTTCTAACGTGGGACGTCATACATTGAATGCTGGCACATGATCACCAGAAAAATACCTTTCTAAAAATTATATATCCTGTTTCAAGACATGGACTCAATTCTTAATCAATATGAATATGATTTGTATTGAAATTGACTTCTCTTGGTTATCAGTGTAATAATTAGATGCTATTCTGATTCATGTGATACAATTAAAAGAGAAAAGTTTCGAATGACTTGAATCTGTTCACTGGGACTGCTGATTGGTCGAAAATCCTTTCACCGCGACTGCTGATTTTCGACCAATCAGCAGTCCCAGTGGAACAGATTCAAACCCCATTGACACACATTCTTCAACGTCACTGCCTGAGAAACAATTATTACGCATTTTAGTCTGAATGGACATCCCTGGGTGAGCAGTTAGACAGTAATACGTACACAGAGACTGAGACTTGGCTCAACTGGTTAGCGCAACATAATATACAACTCCAAAGGACCGCATTACTGCGATTTCCTTCGGGGTTCCTGTTCATTCCAATGAACATTTGGAGAAAAATACTTGGATTTGGTCAAGGTGTGACGTAACTTGATACACTGTGTGGTGATGCGACAGTACAAGACTATGATAGTTACATGTGTTATGCCCTTAAATTGATAGTACATACGGTCATGTTCGGCCCAACATGGTTGTGTTTCTTCAAAGTTTGAGGAGAAATTGGGAATCGCATTCATCTGGCGTTGGTGCGTATATCATAATTCATATTCATTTTTCAGAAATACCCTAAGACAAACAATGCTGCTCGGGTGTGAAATGTCCTTGCTGATGAAATATACACATGGAAAGAAACAATTGGCTAAACACATTCTAGCGTTCCACTGATGTCTTTGTTGACATGAAGCGCCTATGTTGAACACGGCGGTAAACCTCACTGAATAAAGCATAAGTGTGCCTCCAATCCCTTCTCACAGTGGATGATAAATGAAAGGGTTCACCGGTAAAACTGACTGTACATTTAAATACATTTACGTCACACATGACGTCACACCGAATCGCGCTGCACCAGGTTCAGAATACAGTCGGCAAGGCAAGGTACAATACATCCTCACGACCTCTGGTCAATGTCGAGCTGCTTAAAGTGGTCCAGGTACCGGTCATACTCGTCGGAAGCAGATACAAAAGCGTCGGGCGGGATCTACAATAATACAAGTCATGGCTTTTACAAATCTGTAAACAGAGCACATGTAGGACAAACTGATGGTTACAGTGGAACTGTCTGAGTGCTGCTTTAATGTTGACAGAAACATTAATTCTATACCGCAACGGAATGTGCAAGCCTGCGACACGCTAACAAATATCTGACTTTAAACGATCCACTCCTGAAAAGAAACATTGAAATAATAAAATAATATTGTTTCCTTGCATTGCGCTTAAACTCCGTGCATTGCATGCTTAAAGTGCTGACAGGTATCAGGGAAAAGGTGGGTTTTGAGTTTGTGTTTGAAGATTTTACATGGCGAAATGGTTCCGAGTTCTTTGGGGAGAGGATTCCAAAGATGTGCTGCTGCAAAGTGAAATGATCTGTAGCCAAAGGTTTTCAGTTTATATGAGGGTGCCGGATTTGAAACTGGATGCTTGACCGCAACGGCCTTGCAGGGGTATACACACAGACAATGTCTTGCAGGGGTATACACACAGACAAGGCCTTGCAGGGGTATACACACAGACAAGGCCTTGCAGGGGTATACACACAGACAAGGCCTTGCAGGGGTATACACACAGACAAGGCCTTGCAGGGGTATACACACAGACAAGGCCTTGCAGGGGTATACACACAGACAAGGTCTTGCAGGGGTATACACACAGATAAGGCCTTGCAGGGGTATACACACAGACAAAGCCTTGCAGGGGTATACACAGCTCACACACACAGGTCTTGCAGGTCTTGCACACAGACAAGGTCTTGCAGGCTCTGTGGAGCTTTATGGTCAATACTAGCACTTTAAATTCATTCCGCTGTTTGACAGGTAGCCAGTGGAACTGTCTGAGGATGGGTCATGTGTCTGAGGATTGGTCATGTGTCTGAGGATTGGTCATGTGTCTGAGGATTGGTCCCTCGTTGCTCGAACAACAATTCTGGCAGCCAGCATTACCAACCAGTGTATAATTAGAGGCGGCAAAGCTCTTTCTACACCCCCAAGAAATCGACTGTACGATTCTGACTATATTACGAGCATGTGTTTGTGGCACTCAGCGATTATACAGCTGTTAGACGGCGGTCTATAAACAATCTAGTCTGGACCAGACAATCCAGTGATTGGCGATGACAGAACGCGTGTTTATCCATCACAATCAAATAGTGATGATACGTAGCAAGCCAATTGTTTCGTGTAAGCCCGAGAGGTTGCAAAGCTTTATATTTAGACAGTATTGAGAGCTTGCCCAACCTTTTCAGCAACAATCATGTGTAAGCCCGGGCTTTTTTCACAATGGTAGCTACGCCCCTGACCAGGTGTTCATAAAAATGAAAGCGTACCTTGTCCCAACGGTAGCACCCATCATTAACACATGCAAAGGCTAGTCAACTGTTCACTTAAAAAATCCAGAATTGGGAAAGTCAAAAGAGAGAAAAACTTGGTCACTGATGCATCAGATTTTGCAATGCCTCCACATGTCTACTATAAAGTTTTAAAAGCTTTACCGAGGCCTTGAATGTTGTAAACTTGATTGAACACCTGGGCACTCTTTAAAAACCTGGGCCCCTATTCTCGAAACGTTCGTAGCCCTAAGAATTCTTAACTTTGATCGTAGCCAATGTGTTAAAAATGGGCTTAAGAAGTTCGTAGGGCTACGAACGTTTCGAGAATAAGGCCCCTGGTGAAAAGAGGATACTCGATAGTACCTCAAAGGTTGTGAAATGTGAACATCTATGATGGACCACCGCCATATAGATGGAATATTGCTGAGTGCGGCGTAAAACTAAACTCACTCACTCAGCGATGAGATGATCCTATCTCCCACACGCTAACATAGGTTTACGGCAGACGTAGCGCTACGATCGCTTTGCGGAACGGGACAGAACAAAGTGGTCTTCGCTCTTAGAGGTTCGTAATACTATACTTTAACGAGTTGCGACAATCGCGCTCGCGTCTGTCCTTTCGAGATTGATGAAGATAGTGTTGACATCTAAAGCTTACCGGTCGGATAAAGGAAAGGTTTCTGAATGAGGTTTCCGCAGATACGTGACAGTAATAATAAAAAGAAAATCACGGATGAAATGACAATTTAGTCTGAATATTAACTCATCATTTGTGGTACTGCATTTTGCCATATCCATTCGTTCAAGGATCGACAAGGATCACTGCCCATTATCAACCCCTAGAATGATAAGTACCCGACCAACTACCCCACCAACTAGCCGACCAACTGCCCCACCAACTAGCCCACCAACTACCCGACCAACTACCACAATAACTACCCGACTAACTAGCCGACCAACTACCCCACTAACTACCCCATCAACTAGCCGACCAACTTCCCCACCAACTAGCAGACCGACTTGCCGATCAACTACCCAACCAACTACCCCACTAACTACCCCTCCAACTAGCCGACCAACTACCCCACCGACTACCCCACTAACTACTTCACCAAATACCCACTAACCACTAGCCGACCAACTACCCCACCAACTACCCGACAAACTACCCCACCAACTGCACGACCAACTAGCCGACCAACTACCCCACCGACTACCCCACCAACTACCCCACCGACTACCCCACTAACTACTTCACCAACTACCCGACCGACTACCGACAAACTACCCCACCAACTACCCGACCAACTACCCCACTAACTACCCCACCAACTAGCCGACCAACTACCCCACCGACTACCCGACCGACTACCCCACCGACTAGCCAACCAACTACCCCACCAACTACCTTACCCACGAGCCGACCAACTATCCCACTAACTACCCGACCGACTACCGACCAACTACCCCACTAACTACCCCACCAACTAGCCGACCAACTACCCGACCGACTACCCCACCAACTAGCCAACCAACTACCCCACCAACTACCCGACCCACTAGCCGACCAACTACCCCACCAACTAGCCGACCAACTACCCCACCAACTAGCCGACCAACTACCCCACCAACTAGCCGACCAACTACCCAACCAACTAGCTCCCACTACCAACTACCCCACCAACTACCCCACTAACTACCCAACCAACTACCCCACCAACTAGCCCACCAACTACCCCACCAACTAGCCGACCAACTACCCCACCAACTAGTCCACCAACTACCCTACCAACTACCCAACCAACTACCCCACCAACTAGCCGACCAACTACCCCACCAACTAGCCGACCAACTACCCAACCAACTACCCCACCAACTAGCCGACCAACTACCCCACCAACTAGTCCACCAACCAACTACCCCCACCAACTAGTCCACCAACTAGCCGACCAACTACCCCCACCAACTACCCCACCAACTAGCCCGACCAACTAGTCCACCAACTACCCCACCAACTAGTCGACCAACTACCCCACCAACTACCTGACCAACTCCCACTAACCCCACCAACTACCCCACCAACTAGCCGACCAACTACCCCATCAACTACCCCACCAACTAGCCCCACCAACTACCCCACCAACTACCCCACCAACTAGTCCACCAACTACCCCACCAACTAGCCGACCAACTAGTCCACCAACTAGCCGCCCAACTACCCCACCAACTAGTCAACCAACTAGCCGACCAACTACCCCACCAACTAGTCCGCCAACTACCCCACCAACTACCCCACTAACTAGCCGACCAACTAGACCACCAACTAGCCCGACCAACTACCCCACTAACTACCCCACGAACTAGCCGCCCAACTACCCCACCAACTAGTCAACCAACTAGCCGACCAACTACCCCACCAACTGCCCCACTAACTAGCCGACCAACTAGACCACCAACTAGCCCGACCAACTACCCCACGAACTACCCCACTACCTACCCCATCCAACCTATACTTATTGCAAGAGGCGACTAGATGTGTTTTCACGAGGCAGCGATGCATTTAACGTGATTTTACCACTAGAATGAGGGGTTAAATAGTATTAACTCACTCACTCATACTACCGAGCACTACGATTGTACGATTGTCGTAAATATATGTTTTACAATGGTGGCAGCTGCTGCTATTTACCGGATTAGGCATGGGACATGCGACAGATCTGCAATTCAAGCGAAGATTCACTTTCAAATATTGGTCTTCATACACCAGGAAGAAGTGACTGACGGGATCGGAAGGTCAGATTTGCTTACTTGCTTAATTCATGTCAGAGATCCCAGTAGCGTATATTGATGCTCACGATGTCAATCACTGGATTGTCTGGCCCCGACTCGCATATAAACAGACCGCATTTAAACAGCTGGCACATTGCTGAGTACAGCGTTGAAGACCTAACAAACATAGCACTTCAAACCCTATTATAAACCCTTCCATTGCGAACAACGCCGTAAAACACTTCCCACCTGTGAGAGCTGATGGTAGGCTCGGGCATGGATAACCGTTGCGGAGATGAGAAGGTTGTTATACGGATGTTTCTCCATCTTCCAGTCCTGGCCGAACCCGATGAGGATCTCTGCGGATGGAGCGGGGCATTCCCCGCGGAGGGCTCGCTGTAGTGTTGGGATGAAGTAGCCATGGTAGTCAAACACTTTCATAGGCGGCTTGTTCCGGTGCAGCTTTATCGGCTCGCCATAAGGATTTTCGGGCTGTGACACGAATATCACTAATCTGGAAGAAAGAGATGAGTAAGACGTCAGTCAGCCATTGCGTTAATAACAAGGTCACTTACAGCGCTGAAGTACACGCCGCAGGGACAGGCTCTAAGCGCATTACACAAACCGAAACTTGAGTCTCATGAACCTATTCAGACAATGACCTGCCTTTCAGCCGATCCGAATTTTCTCGTGTGTAAGTTAAAAGAGACACTACAAACAACTATGGTTTCACGAAATTCCGGTTCCTGGTATCATAAGAAAATGGTATTTACAAATGAATTTTAATTCTAAACTTTAAACATATCGTATTTCTTTATTTTATGACGAGGTTTAGGCAGCATGACCTTAACTAAGACGTCACAGACTGCCCGTTTGAAACGTCGTAAAATGATTAACAATTCATCTGGCTGACTGGTTGGTTCCACCTGTTATGTATTCTTTGCGTTTATTAAGTGTATTTTTGTAACGCACAATGTGATTGGATATAATATCAAGGTCGTACAACACCGCCAAACTTTTCAAGCGACCGAGACTCATTTTGAGATTGCCACGCCGTTTGTCAGAGCACGCTGCATGACGTGTTTGCTAGGATTATAAGGTGCGTGTTTGAATAAATACAACCTACTTTACCTAAGAAAAAATAGAACAGTCCAAACCATATTCTGGACTTGTTATTGTACTAAGTTGCGCAATAAGTTGGACGGAACCCAGTCAGCAGGAAACGAGACTGTTATGTAATCAATGTTTTGACTTGCAACACGGGGACATTATTACCCCGGATAACTAAGCTGCCTGTGACTCCCCTGAAGGTTAATACTTATATGACTTATCCCACCGGGTACCCACTTTCTGCTGGGTGAACCGAGGCAATTTTGAACGAACTCACTTGCCTAAGGTGAGAACACGTGTCACATGTGCTTCGTTGTGGGGCAGGACAGAAGTCCTAAAACTCTCAGAATTCTAGCTGCCAAACACAGTCACCCATCCAAGGCCTCTCCGTGACCTACGTTGCTTAACTTCAACTGATTTTGACCTGGACTCTAAGCACAAGACCGCATGCCACCACAATGTAGCGCTTATCTACGGTTCCCTGGAAATACCCTTATTTAAACCCCGGCCTGAATAATGAAACGTGAGCTCTTTGGTAATGGAATTATAAACCCAGGGCCTAAATTCGCGACTTGCACATATTACATGGATTTGGTAAGATTTGTTCGACATAATCACATTTATATAATAAACATATTCACAGATCATACGGCGTAATCAATTACACAAATTATGTCAGTCTGGGACGTGCTTGCAACATGGCCTTCACTGATATAACTCTAGTACTGTTTAAAGTAGATGTTCCCTCTCTCACCACGCGAGAATAAAACCGGCCTCAGATAATCAATCGACAGCAATGTGAGAACCGACCCTTTTATTGGTGTTAGTGACAAAAACAATTGGTTTGTATTGTTCGAGATCGTGATAACTGTAATATGTGGAGTGAAATTTTATGGTCTTCGTACAGTTACAAAGTAGGCTTTTTCAATTCAAACCCCACGCGCCTGCAATTTAACTAAAATGCTTAAAGCCAACATGCTTCACCACCGTAATTCACATTTAATCAGTATACGGACGCCTATATTCTAAATATTCGATATAAATCCCAATATATGTTTAACTACTCCCGGAAATAATTACATTTATTTCCCAGTTCACTTTCATGTTGACTCATGCAATTCGACATCTGTGTATATTACTAGTTTTCCTCCTAGCAGTATATTGTTAATCAGCTCACTATCTCCAGGGGCACACGCCGGCACAGCGATGACTTAACATAACATCACTGCCACAGGCTAATTTGCATATCACGTGACCGGACTTTTCTCTTGTTTGTAATCAAACGCGCATATTCATAATAAGAAGAGACTGGACTCACGAAAGCTTTTCGGCGCTCTCTTCATAATGTTTTACATTGTTACATATATATTCTTTCACAACTGCGACAGTTAGGTCTATGACAGTACATATTTAGATATCAAACTGGCTGCATCGTTTGCTCTCCGTCGGCTTCGAAGACAGCACGTGGAGCCGTACAACCTATGTAAACAAAGGATCGCTACGCAAATCGAAATAGTGTTACATGTTTTAGGATATTTTCTCAGTGAAACTAAGCCATTCTATCAAAGATGTTTAATTAGATGTTAGGCTCGTCAAAAATAAAAGAGTTAAGAAATATGTACATTATATTGAATGGACGGTGCAAGATGTGACGAATCGTCACATTTTTCTGGCCCGTGGCAGAGGTACTATGCTGGCTGGCCGCATGGAACTCTGGGTAGGAGATTGTCTCCAGGGGCTCACCTGCACTTCCGTGTAGCGAATATGTCCCCCCCGTTGGTCTCCAGGATGAGACCACGGTCAAGCACATTGAGCAGCTGGGTGGTCAGGGAGCTCTGTCTGTGGTTGTCGATCAAATTGTCGCACAGAGGGAAGTGTAGCTGGTCGAGACACGCGGGACCGTACATCTAGAGAAAAATGGAACAGAGTGAGCAAATGAATTTTTGCACTTTGCTGCAGAAATACTGCTAAGGTTAATCTTATTTTCACAAGTGCAAACGTTTTTGACCCTAGAGCGCCTAGGAATCGCACAAAGAAGAAAGAAAACATTCTCTGGGGGTGTGTCGGACATTGAAACCACCTTTCTAACAACATTGCCAGCTATTACTTCCGGTTTGTACAAGTCCCACCTTGAAGTATCCAGTGCCAAGTTAGCAACAGTCTGTCCAACATGTCCGCTACAGGTTGATCAAAGTCTGTACTCCGGTCAAGCATATTCGTGTTCCAGTGACCTCAAAGGTTTCATTGTGCATGCTGACTTTTTGTTTTTGTGTATCAGTTCACTACACCAGATGTTATTATGTTATTGTTGTTATTTAACACCGCAATATACAAGCTGCACGGCAGCGGTCTATAAATAGTCAATAGTCAAGTATGTGATTGATATTAAGACAACATTGAAAATACAGCAGGATCACAGTTCAGGGACGCCTTCCTTAGAATGTTATACACTTGTATATTGACAGACAGACATGTTAGGTTTGTTCAGGACAGACACACATGTAATCTGTTCTTCTGTACAGACAGACATGTTAGGTTTGTTCAGGACAGACACACATGTAATCCGTGTTATCTGTACAGAGAGACATGTTAGGTTTGTTCAGGACAGAAAAACATGTAATCTGTTCTTCTGTACAGACAGACATGTTAGGTTTGTTCAGGACAGAAACACATGTAATCTGTTCTTCTGTACAGACAGACATGTTAGGTTTGTTCAGGACAGACACACATGTAATCCGTGTTATCTGTACAGACAGACATGTTAGGTTTGTTCAGGACAGAAACACATGTAATCTGTTCTTCTGTACAGACAGACATGTTAGGTTTGTTCAGGACAGACACACATGTAATCCGTGTTATCTGTACAGACAGACATGTTAGGTTTGTTCAGGACAGAAACACATGTAATCTGTTCTTCTGTACAGACAGACATGTTAAGTTTGTTCAGGACAGACACACATGTAATCCGTGTTATCTGTACAGACAGACATGTTAGGTTTGTTCAGGACAGAAACACATGTAATCTGTTCTTCTGTACAGACAGACATGTTAGGTTTGTTCAGGACAGACACACATGTAATCCGTGTTATCTGTACAGACAGACATGTTAGGTTTGTTCAGACATGTTAGGTTTGTTCAGGACAGACACACATGTAATCTGTTCTTCTGTACAGACAGACATATTAGGTTTGTTCAGGACAGACACACATGTAATCTGTTCTTCTGTACAGGCAGACATGTTAAGTTTGTGCAGGACAGACACACATGTAATCTGTTCTTCTGTACAGACAGACATGTTAGGTTTGTGCAGGACAGACACACATGTAATCTGTTCTTCTGTACAGACAGACATGTTAGGTTTGTGCAGGACAGACACACATGTAATCTGTTCTTCTGTACAGACAGACATGTTAGGTTTGTGCAGGACAGACACACATGGAAACTGTAGTCAGGGCAGTCAGGCCTTATAATCTGCATTTCAGGACCAACGGCCATGTTAGGTTTGTTCAAGACAGACAGACACCAAAGCTTTGCTCATGGCAGACAGACATGGAAGTTTTGCTCAAGACAGAGACATATAATCTGTTCATCCCCAAGGGTAGGTTCAGGACAGGCATGCATGCAGTCTAAGTAAACTTAGGCTCAGTATTATTCGTTACACTGCTATACTGAGTCTAACAAACCCTAGTAGAAGGTCGCGTCAGCTAACCTTTTGGACTGACACAGACTGACATCAGAACACAGCTTACTAAATCGCGGAAGTTAACATTCGCACATACCGTTTGAACCTTTACCTCAAAAAGTCGAACGATTCCAAATGCTATTGTAAACAGTCGCTGAAAAAAGTGGTTTTGTCAATATTCAAGGATGTCATCTTGCGGAAAAATAAGCTAATAGTAACCAGGTCAAATATCTGTGTTTATTGCGGATTTTCGTTTGTTGATAGATCAGCGTCAGCGACCAGGGAAGAGAAAATCCAAAAACCGTTTTGTAAGTCCCCCTGAACTCTAAATAGTAGCCAGTCTAAGCAAACTTAGACTCAGTATTATTCGTCACACTGCTATAGCAGTGTAACGAATAATACTGAGCCTATGTTACTTAGACTGAATAGTAGCCGTTGTCTTATTTGTTAAATCCGTTCGGCCGTCTCGCGTTTGATTGGACGGTCATAGGTCGCTCAAAGGTTAGCTGATGCGACCTTCTACTAGGGTTCGTTAGACTCAGTGTAGCAGTGTAACCAATAATACTGAGCCTTAGTTTACTTAGACTGGGCAGACATGAAAGCTTTTCGCAACTCTGCAGACAATTGTTAGTCCCGGTCTGTTCTGACGGAAGCAAAACTGCCTGTCGAGAGTAACTTTAAGGTATCTCACCTGCTCCTGCAGGTTTCCCACAATAGCGTCCATCATGGGACCGTAGAAGAGTCGGCAACCGCTGAGGTTCTTCACGTGGTGCCCCGCTACTTCCGTGTGACGGTACTTCAGCTTGACGATCACCTCGTGAACTGGGGACAAGTATAGCATGTTAGTATGTCAGTAGACTTTGTTTTACGACAGTCACCAATATTCCAGTTTCATCATCTGAAATGGTTGACAGCCTAACAGATATGAACATTTGTAGTCGAAACGATTGAACGTAAGTTTCAGGTATATCGTTGATCTGATATTGTTTATTAGACAATTCTCTTCCATTGGTGTAGCCAGTAAAAATAAGAGACCAATGACACCGTTTCATATTTAGTTTCAGAGTGACAAAGCAACATGACCACAGGGATAGCTTTAACTTTCCAGTGGTATACTATCGCTTCATGTTAACTTCCGGCAGTAACTCTACACTTGAGGTACAATCGATCATATCTTTCCTTCGACAATTTCTAAAGAGTATGATACGCCTCTTTTCAAGATTCTCAACCCTGAAAACCTTCTGTAAAACTTTGACTTTGCACTTGTACCTGTTTCTTCAGGTAAATGACTGACTTTGTATCTGTTCCATACGGTCACCTTTTCTAAGAAGCACTTTCGCCTCTATTTGAGAGTGTCATATGCTTTTCATATAGTCAGGGTCGTACTGTGGATTTGGTGTAATTTGGGGTTTGTCTGTTTTCATTGAAAAACTAAAACGCAGAAAGCGGCGATGAAAGACCAATCATCCACTGGTCACGATGATCAACGATGAGTATGTTACACACAGGAATAAAGAGGGAGCGGTCTACGCGCTAAGGTGGCCGGGACTCCTATACTTTCACATAGACGGACACCAGTCGTAGTGCTAAGGGTGTTGTGTACACACCGGAGTCCGTATTCGTCTCTTACGATAAGCATGGGGCACTGTTGGCCGGCTTGAAGACCCTAGGGCTCTCAGGAAATTACTGACGTACGTTCAGGTTCCTTCTGTAAGCGTGTGAACATCATCAACTGATGAAGGGACGTGTCTGCTGCGATGGCGATCTCCCGGTCAGAGGGGCCATTGTTGTGGGCAGGTGGAGCTCCAGTGTGGGCGTCTGTAGGGTAGGGCCTTTCGTCAATCACTAAGTTGTCTTCTAGTGAAAAATACATGGAAGGGTTAAACAAAATCTAAATATTAAAGCGCATCTGGAAATATCCCTTTGATATTCTTAGCAGACACCTTAAAAGAAAGAAACGAATAAGAGAGAAAGTTAAAATTGTGTTTGTTCATCCATGGAACATTCAATACAAATGCAGTATTTTAGCTTGAAGGGTGTTGCTGACATTTTAGTGAACTCTTGTAGTGCACAAAAGCAACCGTTGAAGCCTTTTGCAGCTTTATACAGCGTTTTCTATGAGACTGCACGAACGAGGACAGGGAATAATATCCAAAAGACCGGTATCTGTTGTTAAGTTTCATCAATATCAACCAAATTAAATGAAATATACATATTTGATTGGACACAGTATATGTTTTTTATGGCTGGGCTCTGCGTTTCTTTTATTTTGTGAAACTATATAACTTCCACGCATTGAAATCGACTTACGATAGTCGTAGCTCTTAAATGACCATAATTCCTATGATTGAAATCAGCTTACGATAGCCGTAGCTCTAAAGTTATTATTATTATAGGATATTTATATACCGCACATATCCAGGCAACTAGTGCTTGCTCAAAGCGCTGGTATTTTTTCCCTCTATCATTGGATGTCAATCTCAACGACACACCATATTATCAATCTCAACTCCCTGGGTAGTATATAACTCTTGCAGCCATACAAACCCCTACACCTTGCCTTCAACACACAAACAAATAGAGACCAGTCCTTCACCTGTATCCATCTCCTCCTCTTTCAGCTGGTAGCTCCCAGGTGTAGCGCCCACGGCGGGGGGTCTTCTGTCCGCCAGGGGGATAAGATCTTTGACGTCAATGCCCCCAAGGTCCGACCCTAGACTGCTGACTCGAATGCCTGTCTCGCTCTCTGTAACATAAGTAGAGATACAGGTATACCAGCTCGCATGCTTTCTTTGTATTCTATCATGTATGTGGAAAAAGCACTAACGTTGCTGCAAAGTACACACACACACACGCCGGCGTGCGCACTCCTACATACGACCGCCTCCGTGGTGTAGTGGTTAGAGCGTCCGCCCGGAGAGCGGAAGGTCGTGGGTTCGATCCCCGGATGCGTCATACCAAACGACGTTAAAATATGGTACTTGTTGGTCCCTGCCTGGCGCTCGGCATTAATGGGTACATCAAGGACTGGTCGGCTCGGAGTCAGTATAATGTGTCTGAGTGGGGTATTCATGCTTCACTGCGGCATGGTATCTCAGTTGGCTAGGACCATAAAACCAGCTTCAGTCTGGGCTAGTACAAGCAGCCGCACATACACATCAACACGCATGCACGTCGTCATATGAGCGAACTATTCTCCAGCGCGACGTTAAACCCAATTTCACCTCACCCCTACATACACACGTTCAAACATAAAAACGCACAAAACACACACGCACGCGCATACATACATACATACATACATACATACATACATACATACATACATACATACATACATACATACATACATACATACATACATACATACATACATACATACATACATACATACATACATACATATGATATCACAGGCATTGTGTTACAGGATACAGTATAGATGACAGGGGAAAGATAACCTAGTAATATGAAAACAATCGCCCAAGGCCTCCATACATGCTTCCTCCATATGATATCACAGGCATTGTGTTACAGGATACAGTATAGATGACAGGGGAAAGATAACCTAGTAATATGAAAACAATCGCCCAAGGCCTCCATACATGCTTCCTCCATATGATATCACAGACATTGTGTTACTGGATACAGTATAGATGACAGGGGAAAGATAACCTAGTAATATGAAAACAATCGCTCAAGGCCTCCAGTTGCCATGTCTTGTTATGAACACATTTTGACATTTGTTCACACGCTGTACTAACCTCCTGAAATGGTGTCAGACACTGTCTTGGGAATGTTGCTGGCCATCTGAAAATGAAGTTCTAAGATTAATAACATTTATGAACAAACCTCTGTAATCTGAAAACAATTAATTGACAAATATTTATCCTGAAGAGAAATATATGCCCGTCTCCCCATCACTGTTCGTGATGATAAACAACAGATAATGTGACGTCATTGGAACAATATCCTGACTGAGTTGGAATGTCTCTTTATTATATACCCATGTAAACGTAGGATAGTAATACAGGCGTTCAGTACGGATGACGTATTGAACCCCTACCGCTACGCTATGATTTGTTTTATTAAGTAACAGATTAATGCAAGATAAGAGGGACTATAATAAATATAGAACTCCATACTAGTGCATTTGGATGTTTTGTATTGAATGAGAAGATGTCATGGGAGCAGAGAAACAACGAGTTCGAAGAACCTTATATAGAACGTCATACTAGTGCATTTTGATGTTTTGTATTGAATGAGAAGATGTCATAGGCGCAGAGAAACAACGAGTTCGAACCTTATATAGAACGTCATACTAGACTAGTGCATTTGGATGTTTTGTATTGAATGAGAAGATGTCATGGGAGCAGAGAAACGACGAGTTTGAAGAACATCCAAATACACTAGTATGACGTTCTATATATGTATTGATGACATTTGTACAATTTCGTAAAATGACAATTGACAATAAAAACAACAAAGTAGAACGGAGTATACGCCCCTTGTAATCATATGCTGCAATATGTGACAGTCTCCTGATGCAACCATTTATTCACCTGAGACTGACAACTCCTAGGTGATCCTAGCTCGTGGACTTTTTCCAAGCTAATGTGGCTGTTCGAAATACATGTTGGAACCTAATACTGGGGTCAAATGCTAAAGTATAATGTTAAATTTAATGCTTTAAGGAAAATACTAGACAGTTGCAATAATTGCTGGGTGAAAGATAAAGTCATAAGAAACATGTTTCCCAATTTTTATTTCAAAAATATTGCTTATTATTTTTTTATCGCGAAAACAGTTTCTGTTATCTGAGCTTCGGCCATTATTCATATTCCGCTGGAACTCACGTGACCTTTCCGCTCGTGACGTCATATGTGATTAGCGTCCGCCATATTGCCAAAGAACAAACGCTACACTATAACAAGTCGTGTTTTTTCTGTTGTTTTTGTAAATGGTACGATGGGGATGGACGGAATCATCGAACAATGGAACATTTCTTCCGTTTTCCAAGTAAAGAGTCAGATTTAGGCAGGAGAAATGCTCCGATCATTCCGAGTCGGACGCATATGAAAGAGACATGCACATATGGTGTATGAAAATCCCAAAATTAGGCTGAAGAAGGAAGAAGTACCCACGAGATTAATTTATACTCCATCATTCCCTTTTACAACTTACTGTCAGTGGTATTTTTAGCATAAATTAAATCAAGTCCGATTGCCAGTGAAATTGCACCCGCTACAAATTGCCCCAGCAATTTTGGTCAAATTGCCCCAGGGGGTAGTCAAAATGCCCCAATTTATTCAAAATGATTAAATATTGGCCATAAATGCATAGTTTTGTCAACTTTGATATTATGTTCTTCATATAAAAGAATATACATAGATATGAGTTTACAAATGAAACATTTATCAGAAATGTTACTTCCTAATAAGTTTTATATGAAGAACATAATATCAAAGTTGACAAAAACTATACATTTACGGAATATATTTAATCATTTTAAATAAATTTGACCAAATTAGAATGAATGACCAAATTTGCTGGGGCATTTTGTAGCTGGGGCAGTTCGACTGGTACCCATGAGATATATATTATCAAAATCAGTAAGAGATTTCACATGAGCTTGACAATGTTTCGTTATAACGTTCTTTTCGGTTTGGAGCCCTAAATGCTGCAGTCTACCCGAAACATTGCCGAATACAACGGCAAATCATGAAGTACTTGTTGCTTTCATTGTTTTGAATTTTGTCCAATTACGCGCGTTGGCATCATACTCGCTATTTGTCAGTAGTGTGTGCCGTGAAAGTTGTTCTGTATTCTCATTGGCAGATAAGATGTCACTCTAAGGCTATGACCGAGTACCAAAATTATTCCCATAACCAAACACTGGGGAAACATACATTGTCCTGACTAATATTTTATAATTCACCAGTTTTCGGGGAATAACTTATCTGCGTCGCGAATATTATCTCTGCTCGACCAGGCTGGGATCTTGTATGGAGACTTGATACGTTATTAATGAGAACTAGGATACAATTTTTTTCTGAACAAAATTCCAGTGTAATTTTTGTAGCAGATTATTTCTATTCCCCCCCGTCTGAAACATAATTATTTTGTTCTTAAATCCCAGACACCCTACAGTCACCCATTTGACACAAAAGGAACTGCAATCACATTTTAAAAAAAATTCTTAGGGACTGGTCATATATTTATAGTGGTGGGTTTGCTGGTTGGAACTGTATCACATTTTGCTAATACACAGTATTCTTGTTAAATGTATTTTGACCTCAAGCGGTGCCTCCGTTTCGCTTGATTCTTCATCTTCACTGGAAGATTGTCTTGCAAGATGTAAAATCGGATCGTATTGATACGGTCTAACATCCTTTTCAGAATTGACATCAGGAACATCTTTTACTGCTTCAGAATCCACGGACACTGTTAAGTTGTGAGGTAAAATCAAAGAGGAAGCCATCAGCAACAGGCACATATGACGTCATGTGACGTGATACCCCCTCTGCTCATTAACTGTCGGGTGTTTCCGCAATAGACGGAAATACGAGTACGTTTTTTGTGTTTTTATTGCTATTTTACAAACTTTTTGTTAAATTTTAATCCCGGAAGGTGACTTTTAGAATATCCTTTACAATATATCAAAAGTTTTGCTTTCGTTCGTATTCTCCTTTAAGTGTCATGCTGAAATATAATGTTAAGTTTAATACTGAAATCTAATGCAAAACTATTATGTACATTATAAAGCTGAAGCCTTGCTGAAGTCCTACGTTAAAGTACAGTAGGAGGTCTAATGCTGAAGTCTTATGCTAAAGTATAATGTTAAGGCTAATGCTGGAGTCTAATGGTAAAGTAAAATGAAAATGTTAAATCTCACGCTCAAATCTTATGCCAATGTATAATGCTGAAGTCTAATGGTAAAGTAAAATGTTAAGATTAATGCTGAAGTCTAATGCTTAAGTAAAATGTTAAATCACATGCCCAAATCTTATGCTAAAGTTTAAGGTTACGTTTAATGCTGAAGTCTTACGCTGAAGTCATATGCTAAACTATATGTTAAAGTTAATCCTGGAGTCTAATGGAAAAGTAAACTGTTAAATCTCATGCTCAAATCTTATGCTAATGTATAATGCTGAAGTCTTATATTGATATGGTGTCATAACGTACCTCTTGTTTGATGGGATTGCCTGACGGGGAGTGAGCGAAACGGTCGTCAGCGTCGTAACGTGGTGGCACGCCGTTACGGCGGTGAGGAGATTCCTGACCTGGAGGTAAATGAATTTACACTGTACATTCTTATTTTCCTGAGGAGCACCGCAAAGTGGTCACAGGTTTAGTATGGACAGGATAGTGCGTGTGAGTGAAAAAAAAGTTCTGATTCTCATATTATGTTGTACTATTACATTGCCCCTTGCAAGCTTGTTTACACAGATATGTATAACTGGGGCTCCTTTCACGAAGCAACCTTTACTAAGGTTAACCTTAACTCCCATTCTTCAAAATTGCACCAAGGTTACCTTAGTGACTTACGAGCACCTTAGTGCTTTGTGAAAGGAGGTCCTGGTCGTTAAGTCTTGGTCGTTAAGTCACCTCACGAATGTGCCAGATTTCAACAGAATTACACCTCCTTGTCTTGTACAGCACTAACACTCTCCCTTCTTCGGTAGTGTCCCGTAGACAAAACTCACCTTTCTTTGGCAGGAACCTGTAGACTCTGAAGGGGTTGTTGCCGTCCAGGTTGCTCATGTCCTTGATCTCCTGGATGTCGGGGAGTTTGTTCAGGGCACAGCGGAGCCGGGTCTTCCAGCTTGGCCAGTCGGGCTGGTCGATCCCATCCCGGAACCGCCCAGTGTGAATTGCCCACTCCTTTAACATGAAGGACATGCAGTTACTTCTGGTGATGCTTCAACGTCGAGGTGAGGCGATATGCTGTTTAGGGTCGTGTTCGAGGTTATTTCACTCACAGACTGACGTATGCCTGTGTGTCAGCTTGTGATTTACCCTCTATGATGCAATGCAGCTAGCTAACACCCCGAATCAGACACAGCAATCTGGCTGAACTTGTCTTAACCCCTTAATGACGTGCGCACAACAGGGTAACAAGAAACCTCTTTGACTGTTTCTTTCATATTTCGCGGCCAGTCAGACGCTCTTTCCCCTTGACCACAGAGGCGGGCGGCCCCGAAGTCAACGGTTATTTATAAACAATGTATGGGTAGGCTGATCATGTTTCATAAGCACATACGTATGTAAATGTCGGAGTCGTATAATGGACTTAATCGTACATTCGATAATAAAAATATTATTGGTCAATTATTTTTAAGTTAGGGACCGTTAATAATTTATGGCTGGAGGGTGGGGGGTGGTGGTTTGATGATGTTTTTTGTGGAGAAGCATGTACAATGTGAATGACCCCCTCCCTAAAATGTATGTACAAAATAATTGACACCCCCCTGCATATCACGTACAAAATCAATGACCCCCCTTCCCCTTCCCATAATTTCTAAGCATAGTTTTAAACAGTTTTATGTACAAAATTACCGACCCCAAATACGTGTGTACAAAAGAGTAATGTGGTGAGACTCATTACATCCGATTCAAAGAAAGCAGTGACGGTGTAGATAATCGAGTGACTGAAAGTGTGGGCGTAGTTATAATTTGGATGAAGAAGGGGTTAAAGACTGAAGACAACAACTCGTAATAAACAGTAACTAAAATTGTTGCGGTTTGATTGTACTACACGATCATAAGCACCGACCTTGAATATGAGTGAGTCGCTCTCAGACCAGTCCTGCTTCCCTCCATGCTTCCAGGGAATCTTGAAGATGTACTGGTGGCGTTCAACCCACTCCAGCCCGGGGAAATTACCGCTGTTGATCTTTGCCTCCAACCACGGCCGGAGACGTTGTCGGTTCTGTGGCTCGTTCAGGTGTGAGGACGACATCACTCTGAGAACATCATAGGACATCGTATACTTCAGATTGCTTGGGTTGAAAGGTGTATAACCTCAGTACGTTTTTTGTTTATGCAATCCTGGTTTCAGTAATATCATCATTAACGTTGTTTCACCAAACAAAATGTCGATACTTAAAATATACCCCCGTTAAACACCTTAGACTGCATTGGTTCCGTAACACGTATATGTACCTGCGGGGATTACCCACATGTGGTAATGGTTCCGAAATGTATCGTACCATCACGAAGGGTGTATATGCCAGTATTACCCACATGTGTTAACGTAACGAGGGACGTAGCTCTATATGCCGGTATTACCCACATGTGTTAACGTAACATGACGAGGGACGTATCTGTACATGCCGGTATTACCCACATGTGTTAACGTAACATGACGAGGGACGTATCTGTATATGCCGGTATTACCCACATGTGTTAACGTAACATGACGAGGGACGTATCTGTACATGCCGGTATTACCCACATGTGTTAACGTAACATAGCGAGGGAAGTATCTGTATATGCCGGTATTACCCACATGTGTTAACGTAACATGACGAGGGACGTATCTGTACATGCCGGTATTACCCACATGTGTTAACGTAACATGACGTATAACGTAACATGACGTAACATACGAGGGACGTATCTGTATATGCCGGTATTACCCACATGTGTTAACGTAACATGACGAGGGACGTATCTGTACATGCCGGTATTACCCACATGTGTTAACGTAACATGACGAGGGAAGTATCTGTATATGCCGGTATTACCCACATGTGTTAACGTAACATAGCGAGGGAAGTATCTGTACATGCCGGTATTACCCACATGTGTTAACGTAACATGACGAGGGACGTATCTGTACATGCCGGTATTACCCACATGTGTTAACGTAACATAGCGAGGGACGTATCTGTATATGCCGGTATTACCCACATGTGTTAACGTAACATGACGAGGGACGTATCTGTATATGCCGGTATGCCGGTATTACCCACATGTGTTAACGTAACATGACGAGGGACGTATCTGTACATGCCGGTATTACCCACATGTGTTAACGTAACATACCCGAGGGACGTATCTGTATATGCCGGTATTACCCACATGTGTTAACGTAACATGACGAGGGACGTATCTGTATATGCCGGTATTACCCACATGTGTTAACGTAACATAGCGAGGGAAGTATCTGTACATGCCGGTATTACCCACATGTGTTAACGTAACATGACGAGGGACGTATCTGTACATGCCGGTATTACCCACATGTGTTAACGTAACATGACGAGGGACGTATCTGTACATGCCGGTATTACCCACATGTGTTAACGTAACATAGCGAGGGAAGTATCTGTATATGCCGGTATTACCCACATGTGTTAACGTAACATGACGAGGGACGTATCTGTACATGCCGGTATTACCCACATGTGTTAACGTAACATGACGAGGGACGTATCTGTACATGCCGGTATTACCCACATGTGTTAACGTAACATGACGAGGGAAGTATCTGTACATGCCGGTATTACCCACATGTGTTAACGTAACATAGCGAGGGAAGTATCTGTACATGCCGGTATTACCCACATGTGTTAACGTAACATGACGAGGGACGTATCTGTACATGCCGGTATTACCCACATGTGTTAACGTAACATAGCGAGGGAAGTATCTGTATATGCCGGTATTACCCACATGTGTTAACGTAACATGACGAGGGACGTAGCTCTATATGCCGGTATTACCCACATGTGTTAACGTAACATAGCGAGGGAAGTATCTGTACATGCCGGTATTACCCACATGTGTTAACGTAACATGACGAGGGACGTATCTGTATATGCCGGTATTACCCACATGTGTTAACGTAACATAGCGAGGGACGTATCTGTACATGCCGGTATTACCCACATGTGTTAACGTAACATAGCGAGGGACGTATCTGTACATGCCGGTATTACCCACATGTGTTAACGTAACATGACGAGGGAAGTATCTGTATATGCCGGTATTACCCACATGTGTTAACGTAACATGACGAGGAACGTATCTGTACATGCCGGTATTACCCACATGTGTTAACGTAACATGACGAGGGACGTATCTGTATATGCCGGTATTACCCACATGTGTTAAAATGGGAGATCACATATAGATATATTCCCGATGAATGAGCCGGGAGATCGATGATAACATGACCTAACTGATAGATACCAACTGAGTGAATATATAGAAACATGGATGAGAGAAACATGGCCCCAGATAATTTATGGGTCTGTGAATATCTACTGTTATCATTAACAGTGGGCTTTTGATAAGTTTCCTTTCGGTACAAAATATAGTTCACTCCATATGATTAAGATTATTGGTTGTGTTTAGACCAATGAGTAGACATTATATCAAATGGTTCTACTCACAAATGTTTACGGTAAATTCATTGGGCCTCATCTCACCCTTTCTTAATTTCAGAATGTTGCAATACGTCCCCCAACTATTCAAAGAGCTTATTGCCAATGATTATATTTATTATTTCTAGTAATAATTTCACAGTAGAAACGTTAGTCATAGCAGAAGTAGTATAGAGGAAGGGAAACAGATTTCATTTTATGAATGAATCACTGAAAACCAGCGCTGACAGAGTCGTTTGTGAAATCGCATGCACATTCTGCCCTTCCGGTAACATCAGCCACTCACAAAATTTGTAGTTGTTTGCTTGCTATACTCGTGCACTATGCCGGTGGCCGTAAAGAATATATTCTTGACCAGACAATCCAGTGATGGATAAGACAACCCAGAACCACCACATTGCATTACTGATACCAATGATATTCAAGTGCAAACATGACAGCATCGTTGGGATTTAGCTAATGTTGTCAAAATGATAGGATATGAAATAAGTATCCGATATATTAGATAATCCAATCTCTTGTCTATGCTGTTGTTAAATAGTTCGAAACTATGGGTCGAAAAGATATACGGGGCGGAGGGTCCATGCAGGAAGCAAATGTACTGTAAATCCCCATGCTCCCTAGTATGGTGATATATCTTCAGTTGTTGGCAATCTATAGCCTGTTTTTATATTGTCTTGTTCACTTTATAAATATCATTTTATGATAACATGCTAGCTTTAATTTACTATCTGTGATAAACTGGTAGTTTTACTGTTCTTCGTCAACAAGCTTTTACCTTCTAAGTTTATTGTTCTCTAATACAATAACTACTTGGTCTCGTCGCGATATGGCTGAAATACTGGCGATGTGACGATAAATATAAACTCACTCACTAAACGGGACGGATAGGGAGAACAGTCCCATTGAACACTGGATGTTCTGGCAGCAATTTGAAAATAAATCAATGCATATTATGAAACTATCACAGAAAACCAAACATAAAATAACATAAATGTGTAAATACACTTATTCGAAAAAGACGTGTATAGCGGTCCCATCAGATAGCAGAGCGAGGTATCGGATAGAGGTTGAGACTTAAGGCCATACCTACTGTTTTATGCATTTCTCTTCTCCAACCTCAACAGCGTGAGAGCGGGAAGGCGAAACAAATATATGAAAATACATAAAATTATTTTTTATAATTGTGTTAATCATTTTATTTAATGATAAATTTCAGTTGTTTGGAACTAGTCTATAGATATATTTATGGTATAGATCAAGTTTTTTGTTTCAGAAACAATTATAATAAAGGATCAAGCTGATGTGGGATATTTAATGAGTGTGACTTAGCTTCCCACAGCGGCAGGAACATTGAGATAAGAAACCTTTCACGTGGGAAAGAAATTTCTGGGCGGACGAAAGATTATTCGCTTATGTTTTTGTATGTGAAATTCAGTTCCGTTTCCACAGTTTTAGAGATATGTTTCACTCTGAAGTAGCACATTTTGATGTAACCGCTTTGACTCCAAAAATCAACGAAAATCAACAAAAACGTATTTCTTTAAAGAAATATTTGAATGCACAACAATTGTGCAAAATGTTAGCATTTCAGACGAAATACAAATTCGACCTATACATTAAATACATTATTGTGAGGAAGCAATGTTGTAATTGTGTTACAACAGGGGTATACTGTACAACACAGCTTCTGCTTACGTCACCCATCGTATGCAAACAACACATGTAAACAGACGACTGGACTTATTATGACACACCACGATTAAGCCATGGTTGTAGAAGATAAACGGGAAATTATTACAGCTGGATTTAAGATCCCCAAGGACTCTTGTGTCGAGATAGTTTCACATTTATGAAAATACAGGGAAATGACTGCGAATCAGTCACATATAGATATGTACATCTAAATGTATACTCTCCGCATTCCTATGCCCCTATCCGTATACTCTCCACGCACATATGTGCCCATGCAAGATTACTTTATACTTACATATTTACATTTTTGTGACCATATGCATCTCCATACGTAAGTTGTCTCTATGCATTCACATTACTCATAGTGAACCTCTTCTCCAAGTAAACCCACAATGACTATACACATATATGCCCATAGGTGTACTCTCCAAATACATATCTACTGATAAAAGTACACACTCTCTCTGCTGACATATCTACCTGTACAGGTACACTCCCTAATGGCATATGTAACTATATAGGTACACTCTCTGTTGGCATTTTACATATACAGGTACATCTGTACAGGTACACTCTCTGTTGGCATATGTACTTGTGCAAGTACACTCTCTATAAACACATATACCTGTGCAAGTACACTTTCTATGGACATACATACCTGTACAAGTACTCTCTCCATAAGCACATATACCTGTGTAAGTACACTTTCTATGGACATACAAACATGTACAAGTACATTAGACATGTATACCTCTCTACAGACATATATACCTGTACAAGTAAACTCTCTCTACATACATACATTCCTGTACAAGGACACTCTCTACAGACAAATTTACCTGTACAAGTACACTCTCTACAGACATATACACCTGTACAAGTACACTCTCTATAGACATATTTACCTGTACAAGTACACTCTCTACAGACACATATACCTGTACAAGTACACTCTCTATAGACATATATACCTGTACAAGTACACTCTCTATAGACATATATACCTGTACAAGTACTCTCTCCATAGACATATACATGAAGTCAAGCTTACTCCCGTTGATCGGTAGATAACTCATTAGTATTGTGTTGCCTTCCATCACAGCAAGTGATGTAACAGAGTTACCTTTACATCATAAAATATTAGTTTTTATTTCAAACGGCCTAAATGTCATGTAATGAGAGAATGGGTTTCAGGGGGATTAAGAACCGCACGAGCGTACACACACTAACACCAACAATAAGTATTATATGCCAAATAAGGAAATGACAAACTCTCCTCCCTCAGTATGTTCCACTTCGGAGGAAGTTGTCATCACTCAATATAGTACGAGGGCATTATAATCTGTGGCGGACGTAATTCAGCTTGGTAGTTACAAGTGAAATATTACCAATAATTTCGTTGTTTTTAGATACTCATGCCAATAATGGTTGTCACCACCCTCCCCTCCCTCACCTCACAACCCCACCCCACACACCCTCTCCAATTAAAACAATTGAAGGGGGTGACAACCATTATTGGCATGAGTATATGTTACACCCAGTCTGTGCAACTGCCCATTGCTTGCTTTCGGCGAGTGTTTTCACCCCAAAAATGTTTTTGTAAAGTTTGTAAATGTTCTGTCAGATCTATGTTTTAAGTGTATGCTCTCTGTTGCCCGGTTTAAAACATATACATAATGTGTTTAAAGTTTTCTGTGTATTGCCTCCACTCGACGAGAAGCGTTTGAAATGGTCTCGTCTTTGAAGACAGGGTTACACAAACACATAAATATTCCATCAAAGAAATTAATTATAACAAAGTCTATTTTCAATTAATGAGTCGTATGATGCTGTTTGACTGCTATAGATGACGTGTGTCGGTGGCTTGTAGGCCACGTGTATGACAGGAAGTTTTTCAAACACACTAACGCTCTCTCCGAGAATACCCTTCACAGATGACTCTTCACACCAGGAAAGAAGACACTCCTGGGGAAAAGCTTTTGAAATAATTATGTCAAAATGATTTGATTAAGAGTGCACTATGAAAGGTTGATAAATACCGAAGAAAACAGAAATGTAATGTTCACGAAAGAAGTCTGGGTGCAGGACGCCGAAGACAATGAAGTGAAGTTCATTGTCAAGCTTCAAATGACGTCGAAGTCGATATACCAAGTATTAATCATTACGCAAGGAAAATGAAGGAAATTAATAAATGCATTATATAGGAGAGACTTTGAGTGAGTGAGTGAGTGAGTGAGTGAGTATGTTCTAACGCCGCTATTAGCAATATTCCAGCACAATCGTCGTGGGGCTTCATAAATAGACTACACACATTGTGCTCATCTGTGGAATCGAACCCGGAGCGTCGGCATGACGAACGAACGAACATATGTATGTATGTATGTATGTATGTATGTATGTATGTATGTATGTATGTATGTATGTACTTGTGTGTGTATGTATGTTTGTACGTATGTGCGGTGTATGTGTGCGCGTGTGTGCGCGTGTGGTTGCAGGTCGCCAACAACATAGTCCCGATGGATCACAATCTTATAGCTTATGTATACAACACAGTCCCGATATATCACAATCTTATAGCTTATGTTTCCAACATAGTCCCGATGGACGATGGATCACGATCTTATAGCTTATGTTTCCAACATAGTCCCGATGGATCACAATCTTATAGCTTATGTTTCCAACATAGTTCCGATGGATCACAATCAAATAGCTTAATGTATACGACACAGTCTCGATGTATCACAATCTTATAGTTTATGTTTCCAACATAGTCCCGATGGATCACAATCTTATAGCTTATGTTTCCAACATAGTCCCGATGGATCACAATCTTATAGCTTATGTTTCCAACATAGTCCCGATATATCACAATCTTATAGTTTATGTTTCCAACATAGTCCCGATGGATCACAATCATATAGCTTAATGTATACGACATTATACTGCTATATATCACAAACCCACTTACGTAGCATGAAGTGTGCTGCCTGTCCAGACGCTATTTGTCGTTGTTTGCTGTGCAGAGTTGCCCCTCTTATTCATTTTGATCGTAGGTTCGAATCCAATATTCGACGTGTTATGATTCTGTCTGTCAGCACCATGTCCATGGCTAGACACAGCACTCGAATTGGCCTTTTGAGGGTGCAGGACGACACCGTCACTACAACATACTTCTGCTTCTAAGCAGCGTAGTGGTTAAAGCGTTCGTTCGTCACGCCGAAGACCCGGGTTCGATTCCCCACATGGGTACAATATGTGAAGCCCATTTCCGGTGTCCCCCGTCGTGATATAGCTGGAATATTGCTAAAAGCGGCGTAAAACTAAACTCACTCACTCACTCTAAGCAGGCAAGTACTTCGGGTATATTTGATACCGTGGATCATGAGCATATGTTATCCAATCTTGAGCAGACATTTGGGACAACTAGCAACGCTCTTGGAAGGTTTAGATCCTACATGTGTGACCGCACGACAAAATGCCCAAACTGAGTTCCCCGGAATAAAACAAATCAGAAGAGGTGTTCCACATGGATCTGTGTTAGGCTTGGTCTTATTTCTCTGTACAGGTAACATCATCAGGCGGCACAACCTTCTCTTCATAGGTACGCCAATGAGAGACTGTATCGCGGCACCAAGCCTTCACACCATATACCTTCCAGGTATATCCTCAAAAGCTGCATCAGTGACATTAGGCAATGGGTGACCAACAACGTCTAAAAGTTAACTGATGACAAAACAGAATACATCATTGCAACCAAGGCACAGCTTCAAAACGTTCCCAGTAGGACACTGTTCATCCAGTCAGCCAAGTCAAAAACCTTGGTGGTATGTTCTCCAACACAACTTCCCCAAAGTCCTCACTACTGCCAAAACAGCAACCCTTCAACAGATGTTGACACAACTAATCATATGTAATCACCAGAATCGACTACTGTAATTCTCTTGTATCAGGTACAGCTACAATCAACTCTCTCCTGTACACAATACAACTGCCGTGATCATCACAAGAACCAAACACTAGCATATCATAATACCTCCATTGGCTGCCAGAAAGGCAACAGGTTATTTTCAGGATCCTCGGCACAAGCTCGCCACAATATCTTAAGGATATCAGCAGCATCTACCAGCCCTCAACAGCCCCTTGGGATCAGAACACACATGCCAGTTATCTGCTCTAGTCAGCAAGACATTCATGGAAGACAGGGCTTTCCCTGCTGTTGCTGTGGCCTTAGAACTGCAGCAATCTGACCAAAACAGACTCTTAAAACACACCTCTTTCAGGGCGCTTACTCTTTGATCAATCTCTATCGCATAACAGTTTCTATCGACTTGATATTATTGTTAAAGTGCCACTGAGCAGCACTGGCTAGACATTAATTGGTATATGAGAACATATTGCATTATTAGTGTGTGTGTGTGCGTGCGTGCGTGCTTGGGTATGTACGTGCGTGTGTGCGTATGTACTAATTGTACAGCAATCACCATAATTAACCGCAATATTGTTGGAGTCCATATACATAGCTGCATATACACATGTAATATATGGACATATTATAATTTCAAGGTGACCGTCACTTTTGACTTGATGGATGAGAGGCCACCATGTTCCTTTCAAGGTCATGCCATGACGAGTACGGAGAAATGACTCCACTGGCGATTTTACAGACGCTTAATGCACGAATTTAGGAATCATTTTAAACGGTTTCATCAATGTTTGTGACTGGCAACAGGCAGTTTAAGATTGACCAGTAAGTTGTCATCTCGTCCAAACAGAACTGTCAACAGACAGGGTCTACACTACCAAGTGTATCCCGTTACTGGTATTGCCAATTCTTTGTCTCAGTTAATGAAAGGTGAGACGCATATTGTCTTAAACATATTACCTTCTAATCACAAGACTCATGACACCACCCCATATAAGGAAATAATGGCACCTTCTTATTTCAACTGAATTACACGACTGAGAGATTTTTTGTTATTTACACAAAAATAGTTAATGATGAATAAGAATTGTGTCTTTGTGTCAACTTTCCTTAAACAACACAACAAACACACAACATCCAAACAAATAATCAAAGAAACTTTAAAAAAACAACAACCAAATACACGGATAATAACAACGGTTTTCATACATACATACATACATACATACATACATACATACATACATACATACATACATACATACATACATACATACACACAAGTACATACATACATACATACATACATACACACAAGTACATACACACAAGTACATACATACATACATACATACATACAAGTACATACACACAAGTACATACACACATACATACATACAAGTACATACATACATACATACATACATACATACATACATACATACATACATACATACATACATACATACATACATACATACTGTATTTCATGAACTAAACATTAACTATCTAAACTAAAACTGTTATTTGATCAGAAAAAAAAATCAAAGAAAATATCATAACATGTTTTGTAAATATTCCAAATATACCAACCTGTGATGGGAATAGTCGTATCCAAGATGCTGCCTGTGATCGTTGGGCAGGGCCTGGGGCTGAAGCTGCGGATAGAGCGGGTGGTAAAACATGGGTGGCGTTGTCAACATGGTGACTCCAAACTCAGTGAACTACACAGCAACTAACCCAAGTATTATTAAAACCAAATTGGCTAAATATAAACGCGGGTATCCCTCACTCTGCTGTCAATATATACGCCAACGGCTTCGTGCGGACCACGCCTCTCCCCCGCAATGTCAAGTGGACTTCCCCGCCCCTCAGTTCAGTGGGGCTGTCCCGATCGGACAATTCGAGCCTACCCCGCCGTTGCTTCCCCTTCTTGGCTAATGTCACTACCCTCTCGGTTTCGATTCCTCGGAAATGAAAGCATTCCGAGTTCAGGCAGGTATTGAGGCAAAATGATACTTTTTTGAGAAACTACTGAAAAACATACGTCATATATTCACGGTGGAGCTTTGTCACTATGGTATCCCATATTGACAAAAGACCACAGGAATTTCTTTATAAAAGATAAACTACACTCAATCGTGAGTGTGAGAATGTATTCAGCGCTGATAAAGAAGTTCCCTATACCCGATAGATAAAAATTTCATCCAAATTGAATCAAATAGAATATTTACATATTTTATTTGATTGACTATGAAACAGGGCTAGGCTACAAGAAATATCTTTCCGTTAAATTTAGGTCAGTTATATAGCATATTTACCAATTGATTAAGCTCGTGATTTTGTGTCACGCGATAACCATCATAAATACTTCCTCCAATGGGGATCGGAGAGGGCGGGGGTATTAGCGGGGGATGGGAGGGGGTACTTGGAGGAGGAGGAGGGTAAAGCGTTGTTTCCGGGAGCTAGATAAAATGCCATATATCAATTATAGGTCGTCACATTAAGTGAGTTTAATTCGAGTATGTACTTCTGCACAAGTTTGTTCTGTTGAGACGTCTATATAGAAGTCAGTGAGGGGTTTAGTGAGGGATTGTATGAGTAACTGAGTATGTGAGTGAGTTTAAGGCTTTTTATACATTATTCAAGCTATATCACCGTGTTGCAGTTTAATGTGAGAGGAGTGATGCGGGTCTAAGAAAAACAACGAGCACCTGTTGGGTATTGACAAACCCAGCACCACAAACTGGGCATAATGGGGTGGAACCCACGATAATGGGCTTATTGTGTGCCTGGCGACACCTCTCTAGCCCAGTGGTAAGGGTGTATGATCGTCAGGCAGTCAAGTTCGATTCTCCAAATGGATGCAGTGTCTCCTCGTGACACAATAGCGGCGTAAAACATTAACCAACCATAAATATAGTCTTTTGTATATGTATTGTTGAAGTACTGCCAAACGAAGTGTTTTTGAAAGCTGACGGTATCAGTCAAAGACATGTCACAGAGTGTCACATTTGCTTTGGAAGCTCAGGCTGACACGTGATCTAATGGTATACAGAGTTGCGTCCCTTAATCAAACCAGGATTTTCTGACGGCTACGATCAAATGTTGTTGCCAATCACCCTTCTTTTATCCATACACTAAAGTGGCAAAACCTCGTCGTCCTGGGGAACAGCTGGACTTTCCACTCAGTTTACCTGACATCCCATATAACATAATTAAAACGACATGTGACATTTGGGGGTTTCCTCTGGAATTATTAGATGCCTGCAGTACCTGAACTATTGATCGAATCGGCGTAAAACAAAACTTATCTACGCTACGTTCAATAAGACGATTGTGGACATTAGTAGCGTTAAGAAATAACCAAGACAGGCTCACAATCGGGGCTTTAAAAACATAAAAACTCCTGGCAGTAAAGGGGGTGGGGTGGGGTGGGATGGGGATTCAATGAAATGCACACAGCATCCCGATCTGGATGTACAAAGGACGCTCTTACTGGAGTGACGTATCAACATATTTCCATTTCCTTCCACAAAGAAAGTCGAAAGTCAGAACATTATATGAACAAATGGAAAGGGAACTTAGCAGGCGGACGGAAGGAAGGACGACGGTCAAAGAGTTATGATCTTTCAGTGAGCCGAAATAGTCTATCCAGCTACATCCAGAGCAGACATTTCACTTGCCTTTGCATGTGTTTATGACAGGTGACATTGGTGGGGAAGGATACGTCCACCGTTTCGAGAACACCTGGTGTCATTACTATTTGACTAATTACATAAATACATGCGTGTAATGCAGGTTAAATCGTTAGATGGACTCGGCCTTTAGAACATATTTGTTTGGTTCTACAATCTTTTTGTTGCTTTTACTTACTAGCATAAGGTTAAATATTCAAACATGGGTTATCTTAAGCCGAGAACGACACAGTTGGACCACTCGACCATTCAGGCTTGCGGGGTGTCCAAGGAAAATGTCGGGGACATATTTCAATTATATTTAATGTCACAAAATATCTGAATATATAATTACTTTTTTTGTATTACAGTGACACTTGATCCGTCCCTCGTGTTATCAAATACACACGTTGTCATTGTTACTTCTAATCGCTATCAGTTAATGAAATCCGAGTTCAGTCATGTTGCTGTAAGACGAGTCTTGAGAATGTATCCCACGCAAATATTTTAACACCACACGAGGGAAAGCTTCTAGTTTTCATTAACTGGTTATGAACGGATATTTCCTTTCAAAACACGAAATCGGTTGTGCCCGAAGTAAAAATGCACTTTCAGTCATATTTTGTTTTGGTCTTTAGTTAAACATATTGGTTAGTATTAAGATTAGACAATTATAATTCAACGATCCTGAACAAAATATTTAAACATACATTTGGGGATACATGCATTTTGTGTGGTCATCACATGATTCAGCACATGAAAATAATTATGACGTCTCGTTAGTCCATTAAAAACACTCTCTATTTAGATTTTTACGGTTGTCGGATGTTCAATTCAATTACCAAATAAAAGCAAAATGAACGGAATAAATAATAATGACTGTTACAATGTTTACTACTTCACCAATCCATATCCCGGTCTTAATAAAGCATGTGATGAATATCTTTCAAAACATATTATGGAGAATCTATATCGCCTGGAATCCTTGAAAACTAGTCAAGTCTTGAAAAAATAGACAACACATCTGACTGACCCAAATGCGTACATAATGTTTCTTAAGGTTTCTGTAAGAACTGAGGTAGGTAAGGGTACACAAGAGGTTAACGTGTTCCCTCTTTACCCTGTCAAATAGGGTTCGATTCCCACAAAGGTACAGAATGTGACATAAATGAGTGTCCCGTCTAATGGCTGTTAAGTGACCAGAAATCACTCACTGAAATCCATATATAGCTTGACATTAATGTTGCGTAAAACCATTTGCATGTGGTGACATTATTCCCTATCTAACAATGGTTACACGTCATCTTCCACAACGTTTCCTTCCCATGTCATTGTCAGCATTGCTGACACCATACTTGCGTCTTGTTCCTGTTTCAATAGGTCAAGGCCACTGCTTTCTTCCAATTTTATACAACCATTCTCTGACTTATTTAAAACAAGTTGTTCTAAACGTATGCACTTTATTCATTATTTGATATAGACCATATAAGGATGTTTTCAAGTCACATTCTGTTCAGATCTTTTTAAAAGAAAAATACAATAGGACATTTCGGACAAACTTTCAATAAGCATATATTGGTAGATTCACGCTGAGAGGGAAGGAAATACATTTTATTTATTCTTAACAATGCCTCTAGACCAAGTATTACGCAGTTGACAAAATACAGGGAATGCATAATTATGTGTCAATGCAAACAAGTCCATTGTTCCCTGTTACAGAATTAACGGAACAGTTCTGTGCATCCATGACACTTCATCGGCAAGGCGACACAGGATATTCTAAATATACGCGACAAAACCCTTTCCATATTCGTAGTCAGTCTCTGCAAAAGGAGAGTCCCTGGTACGATTCTGGATATATCACAAGCATTTGGTATCATGCTATTAATCACAGTCATTCTAATATTAGCCTGGCGCTTTTCCGACATATTCAACACCATCACTTGTTCATTCAGACTCCATTCATGCACGTCCCTGTGCCGTGTCAATTGGAACAATGCGCGTGTGTGTATGTGTGCACGTGTATGTTTGTTGATAAAAAAATACTATTTTGATGCTTTTGGAGTCAAGTGTAATGTGGAAACATGTAGAACAGCTGAAGTCTAATACTGCATATAAAGGCGAGAATGTATGGGTATCATCTTCTTGAGTGAGTGAGTGAGTTTTACGCCGTACTCAGCAATATTCCAGCTATATGGCGGCGGCCTGTAAATAACTGAGTCTGGACCAGACAATCCAGTGATCAACAGCATGAGCATCGATCTGCGCAATTGGGAACCGATGACATCATCTTCTTGAGGACAAGACGCTTCGGAATATATTCTTACTCCTTTGCTATAATAGTCCAGCAATGTATTTTAGCATGGAACATTCACTGCGTGGAAGTTTGTACTGCCAGTCTATTGCGTAATGCCATTTGAATTACTTTTATTAATTGGAATAATTTATATTGATTTGGAGACCTTGTCAATATCACAATGCATTATATATTTAAAGAAATTATTTGTTAATTTCACACTGAATTATTGCGTAGAGATTTGAGATTGGAAATCGATATGTATCACAGTGTGTGAATGAGTGTAACTGTGGGTATATATGTGAGCAAGTGAGAGTGTGTGATACCGGTGGCTCTGACAAGTACGGCAATGACATCATTCGTAAGTCAATATACAGATTCTTATCCTTGAGGTTTTGTCATGAGGGACAAGAGGTCAGTGACCTGGTAATATAAGGCCATTTATCCACTGTCGGTTATTTTCCACGCAATTTGGTCAAATGATTTCCATGACGCCCCAAAGACACACTGGCATCAAAGGGGAAACGCGATAATCCAGAGGGTAATCAGACAGCACGCTAACAAACAACTGGACAAAAACTTTCTTTGATGTTCAAAATACGGTCACATTCACAATAACAAAAGGAGTCTGACACTCTTGCGCTATCTATTTAAACATAATTGTCACAGACACATGTATACCCTA